TTTTTTCTTTTTGCTTATGTGGTGCTGAGGAATTGAACCCAGGGCCTCATGCATGCAAGGCAAGTGCTCTACCACTGAGCCACCTTCCCAGCCCCATGTACAGTACTTTTATGCAAATGGCAGCACAGTAGGTTTGTCTACAACAGCACAGCCAGACAGGCAGGTTGTGTGTTCACAACTTTACAAGGCTATGACATCATGAGCTGATAGGAATTCTTCAATTCCATTATATCCTCATTGGATTACTATCATATACACAGTCTAGCATTGACCAAAACTTCCTGCAGTGAATAGTTAGACATGGTGCAGATTGCTTTTACCTGTCACACGGCCATTGAGTGAACTTGCCAGTTTTAATTTTAAAAGTATTCACTAAATAACAAAACATTCAAGATAGCTCAGAAGCATGAAATTGGCACAGAAGAACACAGACTGTGGATAAGTAACCAACAGCTTTGAAAGACTACCCCCAACTTTCCACATCTCTGGGGTGGCATAGTTGGGATCCCCAAACAATAGGGCATATGTTTGTGCACTCAATTAGCCTGAAATTAGAAGTGGTGGTCAGAAGCTCTGCTTGTCAGCAGTGGGTATCCATGCCTGGGCCTGGGCTCTAGTGTCTTCAGTCTGTACATTTACAAGTCCTACATAGGACAAAGAATACTTTCCAAGGTAAACAATGTGTTAATTTTTTTTAAGAATGAAAACTGAATTGTCTTGAATTATGACTCTGTCCAGTTGCAGATGAAACTGTTCTTTTTGCGTGCATTTTGAAAATACCATTATTTTGTACTTGGAGTTTAGGAAAGAAAATGGTAAAGATTTTTTTTCAAGTGAAAATTAAAAATAAAAAAGAAAGAAATGTTCTTAAATTTTTCCAGGCTAGGTCAAAAGAGCAGAACAAAAAGAAACATGAAAAAAATGTGATTTAGGGACTAAAAAAACTAGAAATCAAAATATGAAACAACTGTCATTTGTGAATAGAAGCAGTTGTCATGTGGCTGGTTTTACATCCTTTTAAGGAAATAGAGGGCTAAGAAGATAAATTTCTATATCTAGTAATAAATATAAATACCTCACCCTAGCTTCACATGTTAGGGACATTTAAAACCATGAAGTATTTTATCTCAGATTTGCATTTCTCATTTTACTTAATTCATTGTCACCTCATTTGTCATATTTTATCTATCCTTTCTCTTATAAAATTATGACTAAGTTTTATTTTGGGAATGGATACAGAGAATATGTACATCAGAACTGAATATTTCCCTCTATCTTTTCTTCACTCATGGTATTTATTGTTAGTACTGAGGTTTGAACTCTGGGCCTCCTACTTGCCAGACAGGTACTCCACCACTGAGCCATACCTCTAGCCAGTTTCTTGCTTCATAAGGACTATTAAGCTGATTTGTAGCCCTGTCAGAATGCTGTTTCCTTCCCCAATTCGGTGTCTCTCCATTCCCTTCTCATGGTCATTCATTAGATGAAGACAAGACAATAGAATGAGGTCTTTATTTAATTGTCTTTCATC